TCTTCTCAGAATTAGTGAGATCTCCTAGTTAGCGTGCATTCTGAAATCTGGTGGAAATGTCAGTACAAAGTTGTCAAACCGCAGATGCTTTGACTAAGATCACGTATAGTTCTAAAGAAATAACAGGACGTAAGTTGAAATGAAAGCAGTGACCTTAAGAAGTGATATTTAATTATGAATAGTTACCTTAATGAGAAACGTGATTATCAAGGTTGATACGTAGATAATGTCGAGCTGAAAATAATAGACTACAGTCTTTTATTTTTACCGTTATACTGTCTATATTTATGTAGTCTTTTATTTCTTATTAGAGAGGAAGAAAGAACTGACACAAGTGTATGTACTACTAGCGTCGTCTTTATCATTGTTTTAAAAACATTTATCCAATGATCATACTAAGACTACTCTAAAACATGACTTGCAAGTACTACTTGCTGTTAAAATAAAAGAAAAAACATTACGGATCATCAACAATTGTCTCATGATGTACTCTCCTGAGTAAATGGATGGAATGGCATAAAGTTCTTTAAGCATACACACACACACACACACACACACACACACAACTAAAGAAAAGCCGAAAATCTCTTGAGCGTTCTTCGTCTTTTCTTCGATAATGATGATCAAATCGAATGTTGATTCTTTACTCTTTGTTCTTTTTTTCCTGTGTGTATGTCATTTTTTATTAATATTACGTCATTTTTTCGTTTCTTTTTTGTCGTTCAGAAGGGATAAAATTTAAAGAATAATTGTCTTCGTCAGCGCATCTTGTTTTCATTATACACTAAAATGGTTAATTAGATTAAGCTAAAGTTTAATTCTTTTAAGTGAAACAAATTATTTGTGAAGAAATTAATTCAATGTATAGATCTTAGGTAATGTATTAACACTAAACACTAGTATAACATAGCAAAGAAAGACCAGGGGAGAAATAGTATGAAAAAAAAGTTAAAAACTATTATTGATATGATTTATAATGTTCTTACGGAAAAGAGTATTATAGAAATAGCCGTAGATTAATAAGAGAGAGAAAATATTAGGTTTTAAATGGTGTAGGCAGTTGTTAGTCGCTCAACTTCCACTTTATCCAGTATAGCAGTCAGTGGAGACGGAGAAAATAGATTTTATACATTTTCTTTACCATAGAGAATGTTACTATGCTGATGAAATCCGATAGTGTCAGGAAAGGAATCCTAAGGTTTCCAGAAAAAGAAACTCGAATGTTCTCTAAATCTGTAGAAATAATGCTACGCATGAGATACTAGTATGATTAACACAACTATAGACACTTATCTGTTTATGAAAATAATCAGTATTGCATTGCTAGATCTTTTCCTTCTTTATTTACGTGATAAAAAGCAAGATTGATTTCGAACAAGACATTTCATCGTTTAAGAGTATATATTAGATACTGGAGTAAATAACAAATTCCTCTTATTTAGTGAAAGTGATATATCACTCAACGTCCTTGCATAAAACAGGTTTATAACTACAGAAATCTGAGCTCTGAAATATTTAGTTTTTCCTCATACATGAAATAGACTTTATCCTTTTGAAAAATGATTATGTCAACATAAAAATAAACAATCATCATGGTTTATGTTGTTCTGCCTACAGCTGCGCCAGCTGTTTTAATCAAATGATACATATTTTTTGTTTTTATGTTCCTTTTGTTTCGTTTTGTGTTCAATAGAAAATTTAACTTTTTTTTTTTTATTACATACAGTTAATGATTTTTCTTCTCTTAGTTATGTCGTGCTTGCATGCTTATTATTATATGCGTTAAGATTTCATAATCTTATGAACGAGAACAATCTGCCTCAAGCTATATGACTTTTTATTGTTTGTCGAGGACGAATATTGTTACAGATAAAGCAATATTAGAAAATATAGTTACAAAAAAAAGAGAAAACGTTCATCTGTGATTGTTTTTCTCTTCCTTTTCTTACTAGTTTCTGTAAGTAAGTAGGAATGAAAGTCAAGTGGACATACTTTTCAATATGTTTGTTATTTTTATGTGTCTGCGATAGAAAGTATAATTGTTTTTTTCACACACAAACACCTTTTTTTTTCATGAACTGTTGTATCTTTTAATTTATCTTGTTATAGGGAGAAATAAGATACACGTATTCTTAGAGAGTTAAATGTACGCTTATTTTAGCTCTTTGGGCTTGATACTAGACTCTTGTTCAGATACTACTGCCCTAATTTTCATTTAAAATCATTAGATGAATACAGCTCGCTGATTATCTATTTTGTTTTAGAAGAAGACTGCGGTACTGTACTTCCTTAGAAGTCGATTGATCTATATAGTAATCATTTTTGGTTGAATAAAAGAACAGCTTTTTCACGCATATTGAACGAAGAATAGAAGTATGTACCTTTTTTCTGCGTTAACGGCTCATTGAGTTCATGATACTGATCAATATTAGAGATGCCATGTTCTTTGTTATTTAGTAATTTTGACATGTTCAACACAAAGAGTACAACAATACATGACTGTTAATATCATTATAGTCAATGTCTACCATTATGTCTGTATTTGTGTGTGTGTGTGAATGAAATAAAAACATTGTTAGAAGATTTCTATCTGTTATTACAGTTACTATCTAAAGTTGTTTTAATCTTTAAAACTGTCATAATTTAGTGAAAAAAACTTATTGATGCAATGAATGTCGAATTTATCTTTAAAGTGGCGAGAATATACATGATGCATGATGTACTGAGAGAGTAGTGAGAATATAAGATAAATATCTATTTATATACATAAACGTCTCGTTTTTTTTTCTGTCTTTCATTGCAATAATAATGAAGGACGGGTTAAAAGTGTATCTAATTTTAGAAAGAAGAAAAAAGAATATTTGTACACTTTGAAGCGTTAACATAGTTTGACAATGTGAACACTAGAGGGAATTAAAACACATAGCTCTTTATATACTTTGTGCCTTTTATTTTCTAATAAAATAGACAAAAAATTGAAGATGCTTCATATTCTTATTGATGATATAATAGTAAACGTTAACTTCTTGAAGAACAAATTAGATATGATGAAAGGAGTTCAAGCGCTATATTAAATTAAATATTAATGATGGTGGTGGTTGTTTATCACCCATCGAGATCCATTTTTTAATCGTACTTATGTTGAAAACACAGTGCTTTGTTATTGATAAATGCAATAGTCTTGGATATTTCGTTCATGCATCTGAAATAGATAAAATCGTTTATAACCAAGAAGATAAGAAGGGTTTTGCTGAAAACTACTCCCTTAAGATATTTCGCAGGACAAAGTCAAATTTCGATGATGAAAGACGAATAAGATTAGATCCTATCACTGTAAAATAATAAACGTCATAGTCTAATTGAGCTGATATATACAATGTTGTCGATGATGTGTAAGAATACGGCGCTTTTTCTTTTCTCATATGTTTAGAGTAATACATTTACATGGATTAATTGATACATGTTGATTATTATGCATAAAAAGCTTCTTGACTACTAAAGTCTTTCTCTTGTTCAAACATCATTCCCAATGTATGTTTATATATAGAACAATTATTGTTTTTATAATAACAGAACTATGTTGAACAATGTTCGATGTACTAGTGTATTGTTGTTATTATTAGTTGGTTGATAGTATTAATATATATGTGCCATTTTTTTGTAACACCATTCTAAGTTAAATTCATCATCTTCAATAGACAATGAGAATGTGTTTTTTATTATTTTACGTACTATTGACTTTTGAATATAGTAGCTACAATCTGCTTGATGAGATATACATATATATATATATATATCTATATGAACAATTGTTTTGAGTACCTACTAAAGTTTTCAACAAGAAATTTCAAGATCTGATAGACATAAGTTAAATAAGCTAAACGTTTCACAAAGAAATAGCACTTTGACACAGTTCTATACTTATTTGACTATCATAGGTACAGATATCAAGGATTTCTGATTAGGTAGTCATATAGACTTGCCATCAATATGAAAATAGTGTTGTCTGCATGTTTGAGATCAATATAGACTAGAAAAAGTATTTTAACCACTGTTATTTATGTTTTATATTGAAATAATTTTCTCCTGCTGTTGACATTCATTAGTAATATATTTGTTTATAAACGAGATCTTGACATTCATACACAGTTTTTCTAATTTTTATATTATTGTCTAATTTTCATTCTCACATATCGTATTACATCAACTGATTTGGGGAGAAAAAAATTTTGTGTATACATAGATGACAAATTATTGCTAATTGTTTAGAATCATACATCTTTATCGATTAACTAAGAGAGATGCTATAATATCTTCGCTAAATTATAGAGACATCAATCTCGATATTTGACAATTGTAACGGTAATATACGTAGACATTTTTATTTTGATGTTAAAAAAATATTTGTACGACCTTAAACATGGATTCTAAACACAGAAAAAAGCATTTAACGGTTTTGATGGATGACGCAAAATTTATTTATTGATACAAAACAAAATATAATCAGATTAGTAGGATTTTTTATAAAACTCGATCGAATTAAGTTAGAGTATTATAAACTCAATGGTTCTGTAAACACTACGTTCGAAAGAATCCCATATACTATATCAAGATAAAACCGCCAAACACATATAACCGATCGAGAAATACAACGGCTAATTTTCGATTAGTCTTCGTTAGTACAAAAAATAGACGCCCACATTAGAGATAGAGTAAAAAGCTGCAAGAGATTCTATCATAGTTACATATTTCTTCCTATCTACCACTTTTTTTACAATTAATGTATATCTCAATTAGGATATGAGACTCTATTGACGTTAGTGCTCTTTCCTAACTAATTTGTTGAACAATATTATTCTTAAGACTCCATTAAAGTTAACGATGATTAATTTTATTTTTAGATACTAACATTACGATTCTTAATTAATATCTATACATGAATTCGTTGTTCGTCGCACAAAACCGACGACGAAATGGTATTTGTTGTGTTTTAACTTTAAATGAATGACATTATTATCTATCGTCGACAACGATCATTTATTATTCTATTAATGACAATACCAACATTCGTTTTAAATGACAACTCACCAAATCATCAAATAGAAACACTTTATAAACATGAATATGGTGAAGTAAGATTTTTATGTGATTTAATTGATTCGGCTTGGTGGAAACGACCGATATTAGTGGCTACACGTAATGGTGATATATTATCGGACTTTAAGAAACGAATGTTATTAGAAAAACGAGATGGTTCAACTGTCCTTATAATTCAACGATTACAGTCAGATGATACGGGGATATATGAATGTGAAACAATGGGAGCAATAAGACAATATAATTTAACTGTTGCAGGTAACAAAATGGCATGCCATGATTGATTATGAGTGAGACAAACAAAGAGTAAAGATTTTAATGTTAACAGCAATCTTCCCATCTTATGAAAAGTACTCTTCTCTTTAATTATGAGTATTTAGCTTTAATAGATTCGAGTAATATAACGAGTAAAAAAGGAAAAACGTGACAACGCTCGCATTATTACTCTCTATACCGATCCTAGAAATATTTTTCCAAACTAGTTTTATTTTTATTTAAATCAATCATACGCAGAACCAATATTTGTTCATTTCAAAAGTGGAATGCAAACCAGAGTTTCATAGGACAAGAAATTGCATCCCATGCCTATGTAGTTGGAATAAGGTAATGCTCCCAATAGCTCCCAAAAAACTCACATGTAACATAGTTCTGCAGAATATTGGAGGTTTGAACTACAGGTTAGATTCATACAGTCGTAAACGTTTATTTACGATCGTTGTCACGGCAACGTATTACATCTACATGGAATACGACGATTTAGAATAAAATATAGATAGTTATTTACGACCTCATTACCGTAAACCAATTGTAAGTGGACATATATAACGACTGTTTCATTGTCCTGAGTAACATGATAATGTTCATACATACTCTCTCTTTAATTGAAAGAGCAAATGGATATCTGCTATATCCTTCTTGAATCACTATTTTTAGCTGAACCGGAAGTGCCTAGTAAGCACCGTAAAATGGCATAAAATGTCAAAAATAAAGTCGCGTTAGTCTTTACGCTCTATCCATAACAACGCAATAAAACTCTGGTTTATCTCCTAGATGTCAACGAAGCTGTAGTAGTACTTGTTCGATAATCCGTGAAACACCGTCGACTGATTTTTTGTTTTTTAAAAGATACTTATTTTAATAAAACTTACTGTTAGGACTGTCTCAATCATGAACCACTGGTATTCATTAAAAGTCGGAAACTTTTCTAGGAGAGAAACATTTCTCTCCTGTCTTTCCTTTATTTTCCATACAAAAACTAGATGCCAACTGCGCGCTGCGAAGATTGGAAGCCGTCTGGGTGAAACATTTCTGGAATCGGTTAGCTTCTAGCTATTACTTAAGCTACGTAGATAATTAATTTAAACCGAAAATATCTCAGTGAAAGAACCTAATGTTTTCTCCTTAGCAACAACAAAATTATGTTTCGAATTTTATTCACGTACATTTATCTTCTACAGCATATTATTCACATTATCGTATCAGGTGACTCATTCTCCTACCATACAGTCTGCTATAGCTTTCATCATATCAAGCACTATAGTATATATTTACTACGAAGGACATCCAGTAGGGTCTGATTTTCACACTTATGATTTTTGGAAAGAACTGATGATTTTTTTGGTAAAGATTATTAGATATTCAGATTTTAAGATATTGAGATCTTTAGATATTCAGACCGGTCTCCAAAAATCAAGAAAACAAATCGACAACCATGGCGAAAGAAAAGCAGAAAAGCTTGCTTTTCTAGCATATATTCAAAATGTGTATTTTTCTGAAGGTAGAAAAGCACAAAAGCTTACTTGTACAGTATAGATTGAAAATACCTGCAAACTAACTTCAGTTGTGTCATGTACGATTCTTCCACTTTCGAATCATCTTTTTCTCAAATCTGTACGGTCAGAGATAACCGAGAACGGTAGATGGAAAAATCGACCAAAAGTGTAGAGAAAGAAAGGACACATAGGCTCTGGAAAAAAGTAATAAGCCGTCTTTCAGTCGTTTCACTCGGTCGGCTTAACAAACGTTGTCACTATATTCAATATGATCGATTACATTTGACTAAATCTGTTTTTGAGGTTACAATTTACTCATTTTGAAATGGATAGTGTTCGAAAGAAATGTTTGCAACTTTTTCTTCTGAGAAAAGTGTAGAAATGCACGCACGCATCTATCCACCCGGCGGAGCCCTGTTGTCCAACGTTTACAGCATTGGTATTAGATATCTGGCGACCCCTATTTTCTAATGCTCTATCGTAGCGCTGAAGAGTGACATCGCTAACAACACTTTATCTGATAGCGACAACAGCATACTAGTGTTTAGTCTGGAAAAAGAAAGTTTTCGTTTTTCGGATGGCAGTGGCGGGCCGATCGCGGGGCAATTGCCATACCAATGAAAATTTGTCCATTTTGTCTGCTGCTAAATTCGAGACTTTTTTTTTTGCAAGCAAAAACTTTCCCAGACTTATTGCCATACCAAACTTTTGGGTCTCGGCCCGTCACTGTCGAATGGTACATACTTTGGAAAAAGAGCTGTCATAATTGACAATGCATTTGAAGAAGTACTCATAATTCAGTACGGAAATTTAACCTGAGATGGTGTGAGAGAAAAATTTATTTCAAAGAATAATAAAATGTGCAAACATATTCTAATTGCCAACATATTAAATTGATCTAACATTTTATATAATTTTTCTTCCGGTTTTATTTTATCGTTTCCTATGCACAAGCAATTTGGAATTTCATTCATGCATTTTAACTCTATGCGAAGTTTTCTCTCGTTTACTCTGCATCTTTTTGATGTTATCAGGGCTCTTGTTCTTGGATAACGTTCTTAATTTGCTGCATTATATAGACTCGCAATAAAATCTCTCTCAATAAATAGACATTTAAACCCCCCACCTCCGGAAATCCGCAATTTTTTCAACGCCAAAGTATTGTATTATACATATCAGCGGGTAGTCTAAAATATTTAATTTCATAATCTGTCTCACTTCTTATCTTCTGCCGGTTGCTTTTAAGTTTTCAATAGACTTTCTGAAAGCTCTATAAATAAGATTGTGAGAATTTAATAAATTGTTACCTATACGATGCGATACATAAATCCGTTTTTTAACTATGTACATATGTAGAATAAACAGATCGCGTTAAAATGAAATGTGATGCAGCTCTGTTCGACGCGGTGACAGAAAGTTGTAAGCATTTTCCTACACGCACTAAAAAGCATCAACAGATAAATAACTGATTTTCCCGTTAGTGGTACTGCAAAACCGCATATTAAAGTTCAACATCTTTGAGCTCAGATGCTTAAATTGAGTTTTTCTAACTGAGCATAGAAGGAGGCTTTCATACATGACAAACACACTATATATTTACTGTTTTTGAAGTATTGTTCCATTTTTCGTTGCCATAGAAACTCTAGCTACTTTTTGATCAAACATTCTGATATGATCGTATGAAGTTTTTTTACAGAAAATTCAGTCATTAGTATCACTCTAAAAAGAAATGCGACTTAGGATCAAATTAAGTCGCATTAATGTGTGTTATTTTCACAGGATAAGGCACATTAATGCGACTTAATTTGATCCTAAGTCGCATATTTTTTAGAGTGTAGAATGGAACAATTTTAAAAGAAAAAATAGACATTGAAAAAGGTTCCACAAATGGTCGAGTGCTAGAGCTGTTCTTGGTTTCAATACGTTCTCACAGACATATCATTATTTTGTTGCGAATGAACGTTATTTTTCTTTTTGCATCAACGTTCCCTTCTGTCTATAAATCGAGCTATATTCCATATCAAGTAACCATCTATCATCTTTCTTGTTTTGCAGTTCTCACACATCTTGTTTTTATGGAGAGAGAATAATTTTGAGTTTTTTTGATAATTTCTATTATACTCGTACAATAAAAATTAAAGCTAATAAAAGAAGATTTCGTATTGACGAGGTTAGCCATGCTCATCATTTTCTAAAATGAGTATTTTTTTCATTTTTTTTTTTCTCTTCTATCACCGCTTGTGTTCATTGATATATGTAGATATGTTTCACGAGTGTAATTTTCCCTTTGAGACACAAGTGCATGTTTAATCATGCAATAATATTCATCTCATCTCATGTTCGTGTATATCTATAGAAAACATTAAATAAGAAAACGAGCAAGCGTGTTACACTTTGCTGAAATAATTTCCGATCTTTTTGAAAGTATAGGGCGTTAATACACAGTAGAATCTTCTTAAGACAATAAATCAGTTCTGACATTTTAAATGTTCAGTGAAACATAAACAAATCGTAATTACTTTTTTTTGCAGTAAGAATCATTTTGGAACCAATTTTTGTTAGCTGGTGAGTTATAAGAAAGATGATGATAATTAAGAAGGATCTTCATAACAGTTCATATCCATGACTGAAAAAACTGCTTACAGCAAATAGTATCTGCTAAGTCATCCGCTATTTATTCTTGAAATTAGTGTTCCCACTATGATTCTATCGATTTAGTAATTCAGAAAAAAATTATTCGTATTTGTTTGTAAAGTTTAACATTAAACACTCTGACTGATATATTTCTGAGGAAAAGTCTACTTTCTTTTATTCCCTGTGTCATCTGTTTGCTTCTAGACTATATCATGATAAATTTGCACTTCATCTATATTCATAAGTCAACAATGGTTTTTGTCATCAAAAATTCATCTCCCAGTATGTGCGTTTCTTGATCAAGTACCACTTCTTTTCTTCTATTGAACATACAACACATTTTTTTTTCTTTTTTTTTTTCTATTAAAAAACACACGCATGCAAGAAATCCGTCATTTTAAATTTTCTTTAACCCAATATTAATTTATTTTCATTTTGATAAATATTTCTTTTACACACGCGTGTGGGACGTAGTTATTTGACCTATACTAACCATGTTTGACTTCTTTTTTCTTCTTGTTGTTTCTTATGAACAGAAGAAATGAGACGAAGACGACATAGAGGTTTTGAGAAAATATTTGCTAGTTAATTTGCATTTTTCTTCATTTTGTCTAACACAGATACAAAAAAAAATTTATGCATGGTTAGAGTCATTTCATCATTTATTTTGACATCAAGAAAATATAGTTATCGTTACTAGAAAAGAAAAACAATGAGAGAATTTCATTTTATATTTCAATTAATTGAACTAGACGAGAGCAGTTAGACAACTGGCAACTGGATTATGTACGACTATATAAAAAGTCATATAAGAAGATTAGACAAAAAACTTTTGATATGAACTGGACACAGAAAGGGAAACGTATTGAATAAAAATGCGGACAATTTATGTCATATACAAACCCTGTCAAATAGATCTGTAATCTGAAGCCAAACTTGAGATCAAATTAATATTAATCAGCATCTCTACCTAAATTGAAATTTATCCTTTTAATTCTAATCAATATATTTGAGACAAGGATATTTAAAATTAGAATTAGAACTATTTTAGTTCTCCATAATAGTTTTCCAGTGCTTGCTAAATATGGCCAGCAAAATTCACTTATAAAGATAATGCATTATAATAGATTAGATAGATTACTCTTAATTCTGTGGTATCAGATCTGTCTATTTTGTTAGAAAGAACCTCATCAGAAGAAAGATCCAATTCTCAAACTTTAAAAGAACTGCTCTATTAGTGATGTAATACGTTGGCAAATAGAACTATGTCAATGAAATTGTTTGAGGCTCATAAATGTTCGTTACATCAAAATCTTCCTCGAGTAAAATTGGAAAAAAGTATAGAAACCACTTTATGAAGAAAATTGTATTTTTCATCTGAAACAACCGTATTCATATTTCTGCAAGAATAAGTAGCCCGTTTCCGGTTTAATTAAAAATGTTTAACGACCATATAGGTATTTTTTTCTGTTGTTTAAAAATACGTTTTATATTAATAATTCTTCATTTGATGATGATGATGATGATATACGTGTTAATTTTTAATGTTGGCATGTAATGTTAAGAAAAATAGAGGGTGAAATTTTTTCTTTCTCATTACTACGTTTCTTTGTCTACTTTGGTTTCAAAATGATAGTTAGTTATGGATATATGTTAAAGCTTTCATTCTCTCCTCTTTCTCTCTCTCTTCTCTTTCTTTTTTCTTTGTGTGCATTTTTAATATGAGTATCGACGTTTTGTATTTCCGCCAGTTAAGGGGTGTGAATTCTTGGGCATTCTTTCTCTTTTTTTTTTCTTTTTTGTTCTTTTAAAACTGGGAAAATTGAAAATCAATCTCAAATAGGCAGCAGTAACAAACATCTTAATCATCATCATTCATTTACACTATGAATACATTAATGTTATATAAACCCTATTGTTCATTAAAAGTACAGAAGAATTTTCTAAAATAACTTTTTCAGGTAGCCTATAGAGAATAAATGATAGGGAAATAGAAAAACAACAGAAAATGTGTGTTAATACAATTATAACTGTAGAACAATTATTATAACCAACAATGGCCATGCAAAAGACTACAAATACATTATGTGAAAATGTTAGACATTGAAAAAATATGAGTATTTTTGAGCATGAATACAATAAAAGATCTATACTACTTTTTTTTAAAAATGTGCAGTTGATAAATTTAGTGTGAGCTTGTTGTTTGAATTATCATAAATTCTACTTTTTCTCACTCCATACTTAATGCTGAACGCTATCTCGCATCTTCTCATATTCAATTATCGTTCATAGCAAAATAGAGTCATAGTTGTTCTAGAGTGTGTATGATTGATTTAAACAAATCATATGAGCTAACTATGGATTAATTTGAATCGAATAACTCCCATTAAATATTCGCTTTTTGTTTGTTTATAGTAATGAAAATTTTGCATTTATTTAGACGTAATAACGTTCTGAACGAAGTAGTATTTGTTATTTCTAAGTTTACAAAAAGCTCCATTATTTAGAGAGAAAAAAATCGGTACCGTACTCTCTTCCCCTCCCCCCCTTTAAGATAGTTGTAGATGAAAGTTTTTTCCTCACCTACAGATTATGAATCTATGATTTTTTTTTCCTTCTCACCTTCTATTTTCTCTATTAAGTTTTTCTTTCTTCTCTTGTTCTTTTTATTTCTCGTCTTTTTTTTCTAGTTCGAATGAAAACAATTGAAATTAATGCCAAACTTTTGTCACCATTTGATTCATTGAATAGTAATCACAACACATCGGAAAAAATTAGCCATATAAACGACGTTGATCATCAACAACATTATCATCCACTATTTCATTATGATTCAATATCAAAAAAGTTAAGAATACGAGAAAAACAAACATTACGTATTCTATGTTTTATTCAACGTTCATTACCCACATCTGCATTAGACATTTATTTACCAATCGAAACAAAATCAGATCATCGAGTTGAACGTAATACAACATTAATAAATCAAGATAAAACATATCGAACACTTTTAACAACAACATTTGTCGTTACTAAACAATACCATCAACAACGAATTTATTGTGAAGGAAATCAAAAAATACATGACAATAACTACAAATTGTTATCAGATGGTTTGGAAATGGATGTTTCGTGTAAGTAGCAAATTGCTTTCTATTGATTAACTTAACTTATACAAACTATAATTTTTCTTTCGAACATACGGGCTAAGTATATCGATTGAATGTGTTTTTTTCAAATTCAATATTAGAGAAGAATGGGATCATGTTCGAGGAAAACTTTATATAAAAGAGGTCATTTTGTATTTATTCAGAATAACTGAACTCTAAATAGAATTTAAAAAAGATACATGCCAAAGGTATAGGATGGTTTACTATCATAAAAATGATTAATCATACCTTTTCTTTTATTACGTATGATTATCGTCAAAAGAAAAGTCTTTCATAATGATTTTAATTTTTTTAATTATATACAAAAATTAGACAATTAAAACTTTATTTTGTAACCTGTAAACTTTGTTTTATTACTTAGAAATTGTTCTTTCATCTCTTTTGTTTTTATTTTATTTTACACTACAACGATGAAATTTTTCCAAATTATTATGATGTATGCAGATTTTCTAACATGTACACACAAGAAATACATTTGTGTACATTCTTTTTCCGTAGTGTAACATGAAAGAAAAAAAACGTGGAAAGGAAAAATGATAATATAGTTAGCTTATTAAACCTCATTTTGCTTTTCATATAACAGGAATAATGAAAAGTTGACAATCTCATTTTTAACTAGCAAACTAGATAGTGCAGGCTAGTAGAATGTAATTTGTCTCTGATATAATCCTTATTATTTTTTTTTGTGTACTCCCGCTAAGAATTGTAATGGACTATATTATAATAGTATAAACTAGAGAGTGTATGACAGTTTCTGTTATCAAAAATCAAAACAAAAAATTGTATACGATCGTCTCTAATTACTAGATCAGTATAATATTTTTTTAGATGACATGATTGTGGATAGTATTATTTTTCAATATAACCTGTATGCTATTTTTCAATCACCCAAACAATTTTTCATTATATATCCATCGATTATTTGTCATCATTTCTTTTTTTCTCTTTCCTTCTCTCTCTCTCTCTCTCTCTCTCTCTCTCTTTCTCAAAACACTCTTTTTTTGTTTGTTTTTAATACACAAGTCTATCATCATATCAGAAAATACACCACGGATAATCATATCACATCAGAATCGTCGACTGGCTGTGTGCAATTTTAGACTCGAATTAAAATAAAATTCTCTTCAATTGATTGAGCACATCCGTTAGAGTTTGTTGATTTAATTCTATTAAAAAAGAAAACTGTGTGTGTTTGTGTGTGTATGTGTGTGTTAACTAAAATTGTAATAAAAATATGATTATCTTATTTGATAGTGGACCATCTCTCGTTTTTTGGATGATTGCGCATCAAACACAAAACATATGAGACAGAGAGAGAAAGAGAGAGAAAAGATGATGTGCGGAATTGAGCTGAGAGATAACCTGCGGCTACTCTTATAAATGTAAAGAGGACATCAACACCCCAATACATACACAAGACAGAGAGAAAGATTCGCAGACATGTACATATTTTATAAGGTGAAAAAAAAAGAAAGAATATTAGAATGGATATTTGACCGATGAAGAATTTTCGTCAAAGATAACAACTTTTGACAATTCACATATTCATACATAGACATATTCAGTGTAGATGATTGTTTGAAGACTTTTTTTTGTATCCATAAAGCGATCAAAAGACGTAACCTATCAGTTATAAAAAGAAACATTAGCCATAATTTCTAAAATTAGAAACTGTCCTATTGAATTATTTTCATTTTTCCAAACTTTTCTTTGACAACTGATATCAGTCAACATCTATCATAATCAACAATTATAACTAAATATATTTACATTATAAAAAGTTTTATTTCATTTATTAAAATAATTTTCACTAATCTTTCATCTTTCAAAATTATCCATGCCCTCATTTTTCATTGGATAAATTTTCAATATTTATGTTTCTATGTTTGTAGCTTCTGTCTTTAATCGTCCACTCGACAGTAGTGTAACACAATTTTTTTATGTCTCTCATATGTTGGCATGTTGTTTTGTATAGTCTCTTACTTTATCTTTTCAAGTATTATTTTACGTGATGTCAGTTTAATATATGTGGTAACAATTCGATACTCACTCATAAAGAATAAAGATTGAACATGTGTGCTCTTAAAGAGTAAAACTTTATTCAATGATAATCATTGTTAGTGAAACATTTGTAATACTCAAACCTAAATTACCTGGATAGATTATTTGTCTGTTTAACTGTTATTTTCTATTTGTGCTAATTATATAAATGACTTTGTTTTATCATATTTTATTTAGCGCTCGAGGTTAATTTAGAGGCTTCTGTTGTTTCTCATCATGTTATTAATATTTTCTATTATTATTAGTTATTAGAACGACTATCTATCAGTTATTCATTTCACTATCTATTCTCTCTTTTGAACTAGATCAGTGAGTGAGAGAATGAATACATAGCATCATCTGCATTAAGATTATATATGTCTTGTCTTTTGTCTTCTCGATAGAGAAAGAACAGCATGCCATTGAATACTTCTTCGCTCTCTCTTTTTTTTCTTTTTTGTCCATGTTCTTTGTTATTATTCTATGAATACGTATTACTTTAACAATTTCTCCGATCTGGCAGAGAATAAGAGAAAATTGTAATTTTATATTTTGAGTAATAACAAAATAACCGCATAACGAGAGATAACACTTATTATTTTTTTTCATTATCAACGATTATTAAACAGATAGTTATTAATCATAGATACGCGCTATACCAAACCTTAAAAAAGTGGCTAAATTAATAATAATACAAAAACAACAATAATGATTAGAAAACAACGTAGAAGGAAAGTAAGTTCGAAATGTGCATTCATTTTACTTTTGATACATTTGGTCACTAAATTTGGATGTTTAGTGAAAATATTGATTATCATATTTTTTTTTCTATGTCTCTTCTCTTCCAAAATATATAGAGACAAGACGAGACGAGGATACACCATATGGTTGTAGACCTTTTTTCACTTTATTTGAATCGATGTGTAATTTGAGTTATATGTACCAAGGTAATTGTACAAATTATCGCTATTGAACATTTTGTGTCCTTTATTATTATATGAAATTTTCTTTGATATTAAAAAAAGAATAAGAAAGAGTAACGATTATTGTATAGAAAAAAGTAAAATGACTACATTTGATATCAAAGATGAACAGATATAGTTTATGTATTGGTTATAGTAGAAACACAATTCTTTGTATAAATTATAACCATATGTATTGACGTTAGTATTATGAAATATATCGTATGTAATATATATTGATGCTGGTAATGACAGGTATGTCTAGCTAGTACGAAGAGAGAGAACTTTTTTTTATTCAAAATATTGGAGTGTTTTTTGCAAATCAAAGATTTGAACTATTCTATTGAATATTCTGTTAATTTGCACAATTTTCTATGTCTCTATGCCATGTAACACTTTTTTCTTGTAAACATAAATAATAACTTTTATCCGAATCATTATCATCATCATCTTCCTCATTCTCTATATGAGTGTATGATGAATAAGAGTCACACTTTTTCTTTTGTTTTGTTTACAAATGGACAACAAACAGAGCCTGTGGGGTCAATCTTATCTCATCTCATTTTTTCCTAAATGAGTCCAACACTTATAAAATGCCAAACAACATCAAATATACATATTATCATATCATCGCGATATAAATATATACACACATTGTTATAATAATAGTTGTAAAAAAAAAAAGAAAAACAAAAGTACAAAATTACGTTTCTTTAACCATTGCTCTGCTATTTATTACTGGCATTTGGAAAACCACTGTGACGACGACATTAGGTTGTTAAGGTTAAAAAATTGTAATACAGATAAAATATTGAATATTTTATTGTCTCAAGCTATTTGTGAAAATAGTCAATAGAGAAATTACCCTTCTTTAGTCGATTCTTATAGTCACTGATCCTATTTACACTAATATTTTCTAGAAACCGTTTAGTTCTTTGATATAGCAAAAAATCGCTGTAACCATGAAAATGAATTATTTTGATAGTCGTACAAAATTTGAGGATATTGATCAGTCTCATATAACAAGGCCAATCAAACTATACTATACTCTGTAGTCTTCAAATAGTAGATGAAACTACAGTAACTAATAATTAAATACTTAAACATGTTGCAAAATAGTTATACAGATAACGTGTTATAAAAATGTTGGTCTAACAATATGCAAATAAAATCTAAGTATATATATTACAAATAAAAGAGAATAAAAAGTTAGAGGGATTTGGTTTAATCCTAACAAAGTGTTCTACAGTGTTTGAACAGGATCCGATTGAACATCTAGTGAACATCTTCCCCCCGATAAAAGAGATTTGATTAATTAATCAAAAAAAACATAATCAGAATTTAACAAGGTAGTATCTTTATGAATACATAGATCAAATCAATCGATCTTAAATCCTTGTTCACAGCTTTCTGCCATTAAGTTAGATTAAATGACTCGGTTAATTCTAAGTAGTACACATGAATGATACTATTTTCTATGTAATAATTTGCCATTAAATGACGAAAGCATGATGTATTTTTAAATGATATTTTCCTCTATTTGATTGAATATGGATAAAACATTTGAAACGTTTCTTGTATGTTTACATTAGTTGCAGATATATACGCGTGTTGACAGCCATTATTGCGTAAAAAATTTGATTAATCTGTTATTTTGTCTTCGTTAAGACGCCTTTCTCTTTTTCTAAAGCATATGGACTATATTTTTATAGATAGACGACGTATTCTTAATTTTATGATCTTAAATTATTATTTTTTTTTTCAAATTTTAGTTGCTCCAACCTGCCATTCAACATTTGTAGCCTATTTTTATACAGGAAAAAATCGTCCAGTTAATTTAACATGTCAAATGAATGATGCCAATCCTCAGCGATTAAATTTTACTTGGATATTACCATCCGGTCAAATTCGAGTTGGAAATTTAATTAATACTACAACAAGTTATATAACTATTCTACCATCATTACAAGATTTTGGCACAATACGTTGTAGAGCACAAAACGAATTTGGTGGTATCGGCGAATGTGACGTCAATATGGTACTTGGAGGTATACATTTTATACAATCATTTTTCAGTCAAACATATGTATACATAGAGAGAGATTAGATAAATATTTGCATCATTATTGATTAGTTAGTTTAATTCAATAATTTGCCTTAGTTTTGTTTGTTCAGTAGAAAGGAATAAACAGTGATGTTATAGAAAGGTATTTATCAAAATATTTTCGACTTCTAAGGTGAAATGTTGATGGGGAATAAATGTTATAACGCAAATACAGTTGTTTATTAACTAATTGACATTCTTACATGAAATAAACAGTTGCTGTTGTTTTGCAACATAACATAAGAATAAAACAAAAAGAATTATTTCTTTGTTCTCAGTTGTTCGTGATGATTTTGTCTCTATTTCTCATTGTCTCAATGTCAAGTCAAAAATTTCATTTTCTCTATTTATTGTCAATGATTAATTACTATTCCACATTTCATTTTTATTGTTGTCTCAATCCACTATAGAAAGTGGAATATTTAATTTTTATATCATTAATAATGTTTATTAATACATTTCGACAAAAACGTAGATACAGATTAACTAGAGGTAGATGAATAATCGAATAATCCTGAAAAGAAGGCAATCGAACGACTCTCTAATTGTTTAATGAAAATTACTTGAGTTATAAGAAGAAGTTGATTTAAGTTTTGTTTTTCTCTTTTACAGCGACACCCGATCCAATTGAATCTTGCCGTTATACGTATATCAACGCGACATTAACCGTAAATTGTGCAGCAGGATTTCATCAAGGTGATGAAGACTTTTTTTGTTATATGTATAAAAAACAAGGAAATGGTTCCTATTCTGAACATGCGAGATTAAAAGGTAAACAGAAAAAAAATAGACAAAAATTTATTAAAATTATTCAACAAGTCTGTTTTAATTTTCAGGAAACTGTGCCTTTATATTACCCGATCAGAAACCTGAACTTCATCATGATTTTCGTGTATTTACCAAAAATAAATATGGTGATAATTATGAAAAAAGTTTTTCAATAACAGTTGGAAAACCAAAAGGTCAGTCTTAAATGTTACAATTGCCTTTTTTGTATGTAAAAAACAAGCATTCTGAAACTTTTAGATAAAACTCGTGTTTATCGGCCATTAATAACGTTCGTTATTATTGGTGCTTGTCTTCTTGCACTTCTCCTACTATGTTGTTGTTGTTTAAACAAATTTTTCAGTCGACGACGAAAAAATAAAACCCCTCGTGATACTAGTAAGTAACATATTTTTTTTTTGTATGTATAATTACTTTTTCCTATTTTATTCTTGAAGGTCTCACATTTCAAAATCATATTTCTTCGAATGGGAAACCATCCACTGGTCTAGGTAAATTATAAATAAAATTAATTAAAAAAAATTAATTAAAATTAATTAAAAAAAATTAATTAAAATTAATTAAATATAAATAAAATTTATATTTCATGCAATACTTCTAAACTAAATGTGTTATTTTATTAATTTTAGTACATATTAAAGAAAATGGTAATATATATCCTGTACGTCCTTATCGTTCAAAAGATTTAATGACCTCGAACGGTGGTCCGACACTTCGTTTCGCTCAACCTCGCAGTATCTACAATGAAAATGAATCTACTTCAACGCGGCATAGTACATTGAAGGAGACCGATCTTGATGAACTACTTGGCTCTGCTGTCCTAACTACACCCACTGTTAAGTCACTGACGATGCGTAGTAATGGACGAATACCAGTTTCCCCTTTACCTCCACCATTATTTGCTGCTTTTCAGCAGCAACCATCACCATTTATACTCGATGAATATCATCAACAACATCTACTACCTATAGCAAGTCAACGTCGATCAAGTTTTCAAGCAGCCACAAAACAAAATGGTATCGATCTTCTACATGAGTCATTTTACTTAAGTGATATTAAACTTAAACATCATGATCAATATGATAATACGGAACGTGATTTGAGAGAAAGAGAACACTATAGAGAAACAAGACGACGAGAGTATTCATCGTATAGAGACGATATGGCTGATACATCGAGACAAAACGATGATGTGTTTAATCCACGTCATAGTTTAGTAGTAGAAAATCAAATGTTAACCGATGGTAATGAACGATATAATGTGATTGAAAATCCCACGGATGATCGTAATGATACCGAATTTAACAGGTGGAACGAGATGAAGGAGAGTGAAGAAATTGATTATGGTCTTAATAGTTATATTGATTCTAACTATACAGACAAAGATCATATTCTTATGGACGATTATAATGATAGAAATACGGGAGGAGCTGATCTAGATATGGATCGTTTAACAAACTATACTGATGATAGAAACGATAGTTTTCGAAATTTTGATCGAAATGATGAGCAAACAGATTGGAATGATATGAGAGGAGAAGAAGACAGATATAGAGAAAATGGAATTTTTGTCTAACAAGCATGTGACAGAAACTTAAATATCCCAAGACTACGCTGACGAATCGAAAAGAAGGGCAGAAGTCGAGTTTTGAACAGTACTAAATTTAAAAAGCTTTCCGACGTTGGTTATGAAAACGGAGCATGTTAAAAGATCAGCGACTTCATTATGGCGAAAGCGGTAGAGACATGACATACATATCGAGTAAAAACATGCTCGTCACACAAATCGATTTGACTGTGTCTATTTATACGAGCAACATCCATTGATACACAGACGTTAACGTTTTACCGAGCCACAAGCTGAATATAAAAGACGCAAATAGCTATAGTCAACCACAATTGTCCAATTTCTGCTTATTTTGTAAAAATAATGCATCCCATGCACTATCAACATTATCCATTCAGAAAGAAATGATATTCAAAGAATGAAAACTTCTTTTTTTTTCCTGAAGTTTTTAAGCATCTTGAAGAAAAATAATCATTGTATCATAATAATTTTTTTTGTTGTCCTATTAGACGAATGCATTTATACGCATTTTTATTAGTCACTCTATCTTGTTATGCGATCTGAGAATATTTTGGTCAAATGTACAGAATGTTTTCTGTTTTTTTAAGCGTTTTCTTTTCTCTTCGTTTTATATGTGTTTTATACGTAGACAGACTGTTTTTTCCAATTGTTGATACTCGAATAAAAAACAGAAAACTTAGTGTCAAAGAATTCATTATCCGTTCATTGAATACTAATTGAAGAGATTTTCTATGTTAAAGTTTATATAAATTGACTTTTTTTATTCTAAAATATAATAGTAAAACACAATCTGAGACAAAGATCAGATCAAGATGCAGCATTTAAAAATTTGAAAAACATAACTGATAAAACAAAGAAAAATAAAACTAGTGAAACAATAATGCTTCTAGGAATACAATCTTCATGTAATTTATAAACTGTTTTTTTTTTATAACCCGCGTTCAACACTCGATGCGGATACGACTTCTCGCTGCCAGTATCCACCTTGGTCACCTTGTTCTTCACCACTGTAAGTCTGCTCAGCAGCATATCCACCGCTTACTAGGCCTCCTTCACTTCCAAATCCTCCTGAATAACCTTGTTGTGCATATCCACCCTCAAATCCACTGGCTGATGAATACGCACTTTCAGCTACTCCAGCACCATATTCTGCTCCATAAGCACTTCCTCCTTCATAAGAGCTTCCTCCACCATAAACATTTGCGCCACCGTATGAAGCAGCTTCTCCATAACCACCGGCGTCAATGCCATATGCTGATGCTCCCGATTGTTCAAATTGCGCTGCTCCTGCTAATCCAACTCCTCCTGCTAATCCAATTCCTCCTGCTAATCCAATTCCTCCTGGTGGTGACTAGAACATAGGCAAGAAAAAAAAGATTAATTTATCTCATGAAAATTTTGAAACAACTTACAATATCTTCAACAACTCCTGCTGAACGAGCTGCTACTACCAAACTTTGTGCATCTTGTAATTGTGCACCATATCTCGCAACATATGCGTTTGGATTTTCTGGCGTAACTCCGAGTCGTTGAAATTGTCGAACAATACGAGCTTGAATTGGTTCATATTGAATGATAATATTTCGTGGTCTTGCATACTGTCTTGCAGCAGCAGCACGTTGAACAATTACTCGACGTTTAGCTTGTGCACCATATGGTATCCATCTTTCAATAATAATATCACCTTCAATTTAATATAAGTCAGATTATTAAAAAATAATAGATTTGATTGACATAAGGGTGAAGACTTACGTGGTTTTGGTGGAAGAGGTGGTAAACGTTCAATGATAACTGAACGTGGTGGTACAGGAATTGCATTTAGACGTCTGATAACTGTTTGACTGGCAATCGGTTGAGGTGGTTGTGGTGGTCTCTCACGGAGAATGAGCGGTGGACTGTAAGTGAAAATAAATTTATTTCCGTATTATAAAAACAACAACAGATTATTGCAGGTTAAAATATATTTAATTAATATTAAAATCTTCTTTTCCTCTATTTGAGGTCATTAGTCGTTGAACCAAATATTAAAGTTAGTAGCACTTTTAGATATTGAAGAAAACAATGCTAAATGTTTATCTACTTACGGTGGTGGAAGTTGTTGCGGTCGCTGTCTGATAATAAGTGGTGGAGGTGGAGGCGGTTGGGGTGGTCGAACTTCTTTAATTATTAGTGGCTAAAATAAATACCAATAAGCGTTATCAAAGAGTTATCTCTCATTTCTAAACAATTTATGATACAAATACATATCACGAGTGAAAAACGATATGTCTGAGTAAGAACGTCTTTTATTCTCCGTAGAGTAAAAATGCTAAAATAAAACACACTAGTGCTTTATGTGGTTTCAATTCAGTAAAAAATATAAAATTTTAAAAATGTCTCAGAAAAACTTAATTAGAAAATGACACGAAACTCACGCCTGGGGGTGGTACTGGTGGTGGCTGTAAAAATTTGACTAAAATATTTTGTTTGTACGTAACAGCACCCCCGGGAGCTAAAACGAAATAGAAAAATGTTTAGTTGAGATCAGTTATATTGCAAGAACAGCCATACCTGGACGTCGAATAATTTGTGGATTACTATCTTGAAAAAGTGCACCACTTCCTCCATATTGTCCTCCATATTGTTGTACTGCTAAAGCATCGCCGCCATAACTAGCGCCACTAAATTCTGCAGAACCAGCACCTGCTCCATATCCACCTGCATATCCACCTCCATATCCACCTTCAAATCCTGATCCTGATGAATATGAAGATGATTCATACGCAGAACCCCCATAACCACCTTGGGCAAGTCCTCCAAAACTTGCACCAGCTGCTCCATAATTAGCTGAGCCATAGCCCGATTGATAAAAGATTGTTCAAATATTACCATGACTGTTCTAGATACAATATGTTCGTAGACACCCATAAATATCTTCTCTTAAAAATATTAAATTAAATGCTGATGCTTACCACTGAAAATAACCAAAAAATAATATTGGAAGATCGAAGATAAGTAAGAAATGAGTGAATGACTTTTCCCATGACTTTGTCGTATCCTTGATTCCACTAGAATTCTATAGGATTTTGTTAGGATCATAAAAACCTAAGCAAAGTTTTTCTTTGCAGGAATCTGGTAGGATAAGTGACACAGGAAAAAAGTGTGATGACCGCTCACGAGAAGATATAGGCAGGAATTTTGCATTTAGAATAGGCTCTAATCGAAACATTCATTTCACAAGATGCTTTTTTGTACGATTTAGCATAGAATATTTGTCACTAAGAAAGTAATTCAGAAGCATAGACCATGAAATCTACGATCACATAATACGTAAACTATTTCCAATCTGCATACCCATCCTGACTAAAACCTTCAGATGCCGATCCGTATGCTCCCGATGCGTATCCTCCACCAGATACGTTTCCACCAACAATATTTCGAAATTCGTTTATATCTAATCGATTGTCATGATTTGTATCGGCTTGTTGAAAAATACGTTCGGCTGACATTTTTATCAACTATCAGTTACTTATTGCGTTAAATATAAGAGAATTAGAAGCGATAATGTATAGAGCTAACGGTAAGTGAGTTGTATATATACATTAATTTTAGAATCATTGAAGCAACTCATTTGGCAAATTTCTTTTCTTTTAGACAAAAAAGTTGTCTGCTATTTTGTACAGTAATTCTAAATTTGAATACGGTGATTGGTCTAGAATCACACTTACTTTCTAGTCTGAAGGTGAGTATTGGTAGACCAAGGCTTCATTAATCGTTTGTCTAAATAGTTTAATTTTGTATGTATATGTAAACGATATTGTATTTTGAATTATCAGTTAACATATGACATAGACGTACAAAATCAAGGTTTCAATACCGACAAACTGTATTGTTATTCATAATAGAACAATTTTCTTTTTTGTTAGAAAATAATGGCAGGTTGCATCTGTTTAAGGTTGAAAATCTTCCATTCTTTCCATGGACTACTGGAAAATTGACTGCATCTCATTTGCTAGGACTTACAATTGAAAAACGGGACATTGAGCTATACTTTTTCTATACTTTTTCTTGTACATTAAAACAGGATTTAACCAAACCCTCGATGTTGGTCAAAAGCATCTTCAATTCATCTCGCAATATTGATGGAAAATAATATTCTAAATCGATCTAAGAGCCACTATTAATAAGAATGATGTAAGATGAAAGGTTGGTATTATTGAATTCTATAAATTTTTTCCAAAAATGTTGTACAAAACTCCACAATCCGATGGTTCTCTATTGGCATGAACAGTTAAAAAACAAAGTGTGCTTTTAAAAAACATTTATATTTTCGATAATATTAATTATGAGAACTTTTCGATGGTATAGAATTATAGTGTCTGCTCTACA